GGTCATGGGCTCACCGTGGGCGTGTGGGAAGAAGGTAGAGCAAACCCATGTTGCCTCTGAGAAACTCCTCCTGCTCCATCACAGACATCCAGGGTAGGGGGATGGCCTGCACCGTGGACACCTCGAGGCGGGGTGTCATGCATGGGGGCTCAGAGGAGGATCTCAGCTAGCTCAGGTCTCAAGGACTGAGGTCTTTTGAGGGAGACCGGCACAAATTCTTGCAGTCCTTGGATGCACAGTCTTTGAGAGTTGTTTTTTCTGGACTCTCTGCAAATGGTCTGGTTTGAAACCAACACACATCTTCTCCCAAACTTGTCCCCATGCCTCTTTCAAGCCACCAAAGGGCCCGAAATCCTCACGGTATCAGCAAACTGCGGGGTTAGTCTCAGGCCTGGGAAGGGGAGGACAAGGAGGCTGGACAGTGAGCGGGCTTTTACCTGAGACAACAGCGCCTTGGGTTCCTGACCTTGGTGTCCATCCATCAGAGCAAGGGCAGGAGGAGGCCGCTGGGTCAGCTGGCTCCACTCTGACCTGCCGTACATCCATTTACACGCAGGCTACTGGGTAAAATAGCAGGGACCAGACAAGGACACACTGGAGCTTTTGATGGGAAAAAAAGTGAGTGGCCGAGGGGAGCTTTAAAGAGGCATTGACCCTGAGTGGAAACTCGGGTGAAAAATGACTTTGCTCCCATCCTCCTGCTAAGAGCATCTTTTTTTCCTTTACTGCCATTTATTTTGCTTATGCAATCAGATGCTAATGCTTTGGCGTGCAGCAGAGTTGCTTGCGTTTTAAGGTCAAAATCCCTAAAGTTTGTAAATCGTAGTCCTTTAAAAAGATCAGATACATAGAAATAGTTTATACATGCGGAGCCTGGTGAGAGCAGAGTGGGAATTTGGCTAGGAGATGAACTCGGTGATCTTGGCCTCTTTGTCCGTTTGCTTGCTGGTTTTCTCTCAGGCTCCACGCCTGTTGTTGCAACACCTAGCAAAAGTGGGGTGGTGGGTTTTGGGCAGATCCCCCTTAGCATGAAACCCATATAGGGATGCCACACTGGCTCTCAGCAGTATCGGGGTTGTTATCATCCTCTTGTCTTTCTTAAGTCCTGTCCCCAGGGATGTCAGGGGCTGGAGGAAAAATAGAGGTCTGGTTTTGAGAAGCCTCCGGGGTCTCAAACCGGGCCCCCAGATCCCTCCTTGCTTTGGAAAGCTGCAGCCAGATGAATAGATGTCCCTCTCTGCCTTCCCACCGCGCAGGGCAAATTACTTATCTCTGCTCTACAGATGCTGGAGATGCTGGTGACATAATTTTCCAGAGCGACTGCAACTCCTGTTAGTGTTTAAAAATCAAACCATAACACACCCTGCCTGGTCTCCCAGGAGGAAAATCAAATGCAGTTCCCTGTCAGTGCAGTGGCAGCAAGTGGAGGACATGGCATCTAGGCAGCAAACTGCACGTGGCAGCCGTGTCGATGAGGCTTTAATGGGCGTCATAAAAATGATACAGCAAACCGAGTCTGGGATGCAACGCAGTGGTCGCCTGGCCCCCGCTGCTGTGCTTGCTTTTCAGATTAAAACCCCGAAATTTCTAAACTGAGCTTAGGTGTAACAGCTGGTTTGGTGCTGGCTAATGCTCCTTCCCATACATTTCTTCAGAGCCCGTGTGTGTGCATGCATGCATGCGTGTGTGTACTTTGTGGACAGCAGGAGGTACACAAAAGGAGACATTTTATTTGTGCAAGATTTGATTAAAATCTTGGAAACAGGTTTCAGATGGCAGTGAAAGCCGAAACCGGGGGAGCTAAGCCTGAGTTGCTTTTGTTACTGAAATTCTACTTGGCTCTGACCTTTAGGTATCCCAAACTGAAGGTGAAGGACTTGCCTGCGGGTGCTGGAGGACATCACCAGGGCTTGGTTCTCCTCCCTGGGAAGTAACTCCCCTGCACCCAGCAAAGTTGCATCAGGCTGGCCAGGTAAAGCCCATCGTGCTCACTGGACATGCAGGGATTAACAAAGAAAATGATACTTAAGTAAATTCAGTATCTCAGAACCCACAGAGGCAGATTTTTGATTAAAAACTGTCTGTCCCCCCCGTCTCTTTCAGATCACACGGCTAAGACTTGTCCACAAACAGATATGCAGAGCTTTACAAGCACATTTAGTTTTACACGTGTGAGCTGTTGTATGGATGTGGGACACTGCTGACTAAAATAAGGCTTCTGCAAGCGTTTGCAGGCTTGGGGCTTTTTGGCTGTTTTGTCTTCTGAAGAACTTTTAACTAGTAGCTACAATCTAACAGGAAAAAAGTACATGATGTTTCAATCCTAAATCTGCCCAGTACAAGGTATTTTGAAGGAGAAGCCTTGAAATGCACTTTTTGGTTTATTTTGGTGTTTAAATAGAAAACCTCTTCTGACACTTTGCTTTTTAATTTTTTTTTTTTTAAATTTGAAAATAGGCTGTTTGCTTCTCTGATGACCTCTCCCTGGGAATCACTTTTAAGTCTTCCCTGTTTTGACGTGTTGTTTGTGCAGAGCTCAGTGTTCACCTTACTAAACCGAAACCTTATCCTCTGCTACTGAAAAATTGATTCTCTGGGTATGTGCAAACCCAACCCCATGAATCCTGCAGGAGAAAACGGGCGAACGGTGATAGGTACTCACTTGTATTGCAGAGATAAAAATACAATTTTGCACACACCTCACCTTGCCCTGTTGCTCTTCGTGTCTTGCCTAAGGAAGTCATCTCCACACAGGTTTTCACGAGTGATTCAGTGTAAAAATTGGGGTTAGAAATGTTTTCTTAGCCTAACTCTGACTCATCTTCCCATAGCACCCGGGAGCAGTGAACTGCCGTTTAACCAGCCAGCGGAGGGGAGCGGATTCCTGGGTGGTCCCTGTAACCACAGAGCACAGAAAGCAAAGCATTAAAATGTAACATGAGGATGAAGGGAAAGGGGCACTGAACCACTTTCTCCCAGTGTTATCTCAACGCAGCAGATGGAGAACAGAGATAGCGAGGGTGGCTGCTCATTTTTCCGTGCCCTCTCCAGCCAAATCCAGTAAATAATGAAGTGTAATTTGCCAAATAGCCTTTGAATGTATTATTTGCTTTTGAAGGTCCTGATACTTCCACTGTGGCCGGCACACAGTGATTTGATTTATGTGGTGGGGTTAGGGGGAGGAATTGAGTCCCGAGAGGCTCAGTTCAGGAATTTTGCTAGTCCTACCTGAGCAAATCATTACTGGAGTGCCTTGGTGACTAACGTTAGAGGGAGCTGCAAATAGAGGGGGTGACATTTTGCATGTCTTTTAGTTGGGAACGGTAGGTGGAATGTGCAAAGATGGAGACAGAAAAGCTGCTCTGGCTTGGCGGTGGAATTGCATTTGGCGCATCCAGCTGATGATTTAGGGATGCTTTGCAGCGTGCTCACCCTTACCTTGTGCTACAGAGCTGCATGTGGATGCTTATTGACCCAACTCCTGGATTCCCACTTGCAAAAAAACCCCAACATTGTGTTGTTTGGACTTTAAATGATGCCTGTGAGTTTGGCTGTGGAGGTACCTGAGTGGAGCAGGAAGCCCAGACTGGGTCAGACTGGAAAGCAGCTTTGTTGCACTGGGCTGCCCATGCTCGGCGGCTGCAGTGCTGTCTCCCACCCTGACTCACCATTGCGTTAGGGATGCGCTCAATGCTGCTTGAAACAAGCACTTGCCAGTATTTTGCAGGTATAATGGCTTATTAAATCAGAGCTTAAATTAACTTAGAGCGATGGTAAGCCAAGGTGGCTGGGGTTTCCACAAAACAGAGAATTCTTTGATTTTTGATGTCTACATCCAGACATTCATGAAAACAACAAAAGAGCTTGCGCGTGATGTCATTTTTGCACTGAGAACAGTTTTCATTGAAAAATTTCCAATAGGCTACAGTGCTCAACCAGCCTCAGGTGGAAGATTTACATATGAGACCGATAAAGTTCAGTTGTTTGAGATGGTGGTTGGATGAGGCTTTCCTTCTCTATGAAAGATGTTTTTCAGGAATGCTTAAAATATATGAAAAAGAGCCAAACCTTTATTCAGATCGAGGAGGGTTTTTTTTAAATGGTTGCTTTTGTTTATGAAACTCTTTGGCTACAAATATCCGCCTGCTTCCAAATAAATTAGAAGAAGAAAAAAAAAAAGAAAGACAGGAAGAGCTTTGCTTCTCATCAGGGCTTACTGCAAGGCCCGGCTCTTGGCTTGGCCCCGCGCTCTCCCATGGGGGTGGCTGAGCATTGTTCAGTGACTCACCCCGAATCGCGTCGCTCCGTGCTACGGACTGGCTGCGCATGATGTAACTCCGTGCTAATGTGGGATTTTCCAGCTCTTTGTTTTCCCTTCCTCCTCAAATGGGTTTTCTGCTGGTTCTTCATCCTGCCTCAGCCTGCTGTCAGCTTACTTTTTCCAGGATTGCCCGTGATTCTTTAAAATTAATTTTTTCCTTTTGCTTTTTGTTGGATCAGGATGCCCAGAGGTGGAGCGGTAATTCAGAGATGCTTTTCTCCTTGCTTTCTTGCTCACCCTGGTGTGGGACTCTCTACTTTCATCGGCGTCTGGAGCTGCTCAGCTATCTCCCAGGCTCCAGACACCAACTGGGGTGATGAAGCCCAGCAGGCTAGAAGTCTGGAAAGGTCTTTGATATCACCGTCGAATTTCCAGTAGCACATTCATGGTTGGCTTGTAGGGAGACCATGTGCACCCTGTAACCTAGCTTACCAGACATGGCTTGTTTATACCCTTTAAGTAGAGGCTTGTTAGAAGCACAAGATTATTCTTCTTGTATTTCAGAAGCCTGCTCATGGACTTGCAGGGTTTAGGTGTAGGGCTAGAGGGTCTGGGTGTGAAAATTTCAGAAGAAAAAAAGATTTCTCTGTTTCTCGGACAATTCAACAGCCAGCACGACTCCTGTCGTCTTTCCCAGTTCCATGTCCTTATGGCCATTTTTCTCTCCTGCTTCTTTCAGATATGGAATGTGCGGATGTGCCTTTATTAACTCCTAGCAGCAAAGAAATGATGTCTCAGGCATTGAAAGCCACCTTCAGTGGCTTCGCAAAAGAGCAACAGCGGCTGGGAATCCCCAAAGGTAAGACATGGTTTCCCAATGAGCAACCATGGTAGCCACAGAGATTGTGTCCTCCTGCCAGGCTGCCCGTCTCCACATCTGCCATCTCTTTTGTTGATTCTCTTCATGTGGTATTGCCTTGTTTCTTGGCAGCTTCAGCTGGAAAAAATCTGGACATATAGGCAAAACCTTTCAGTACCACTTGCAGACTACACCTGTCTGACAGATTGTGCCTGTCTGTCCTGCTAACTTCTGCTGGATGACTGCTCTTGCAACTTTGGCGACCTGCTCCTTTGGAGGCAGCTCCAGGACTTCTGTTTGCTAGTCATCTCCACTATATGGAGAAACAGCAGGAACCCTTTACCAGAGGCTGGTGACAGGGAGAAACCAAGCAAAATGGAGAAATGGGTGGTAGAAGGGGTCAGAGAACTGGTGGAATTTTTAAAAGTCCCAAACAAATCCAAAGCTCATTCCTTGCATGAAATATGTCTGCAGTAGGGCTGATCCAAACTGTAGGTATGGTGTTCCTCCACCATGTTTTACCCTTATGCCAGTGGACTGCCAATCTCTATGGGATGAGGCTGTGCAAGTGCAGTGCAGCTGTAGCACAGTTTCTGTCTTGTTTTCCTGGGGAAATGGCTTGTAGTTGCTCATTAATGGATCTCTTCTACAACCCCTTGCTGCAGATCCCCAGCAGTGGACGGAGACACACGTGCGGGACTGGGTGATGTGGGCGGTGAACGAATTTAGCCTGAAGGGAGTGGATTTCCAGAAGTTCTGCATGAACGGAGCTGCCCTCTGCGCCCTGGGCAAGGAGTGCTTCCTGGAGCTAGCGCCTGACTTTGTGGGAGATATCCTTTGGGAACATCTGGAGATCTTGCAGAAAGGTGAGTCCTGGAGGCTCCAGGGTGACTGGCTGATGCCATCCTGGCTAACCTAGCCTGGTTTTGGGCCTTTCCAAAGACCTTGGCTCACAGTCTGGCTCAGCAATGAGGTGTTCACCTTGGGCTTTAATCCCAATAAAAGGAGCTGTCAAAGCCCAGCTTTCCGGTGGGATTTCAAATGGGCATCCCAACCAGTAGTGGGCAATGCAAATCCTGGCACTGCTGGAAAAGAGGAAGGGTGTTTGCACTGGCCGCTTGGCAGGAATGCACAGTGGGCAGGGACGCTTTGCCTGCCTGGAAACGATGGTGGGATTTTCCAAAGCATTCTTCCTCAGCTCGTTCAGCTCCTGTTGTGAATTTTACTACTTCCTCTGGTAGAACTGGGTACAACAATACCACCAAAATCCCACCCTAATTTCCCAGTTGTAATTGGAGGCTGCTTTTCTTTGTTTCGTGTCCCAAAAGGTGTAATGGCATTCTGTTGAGTGGCTGTGTTGCCCACAGGAGAAGCCATTTCTGCCAGTCCCTGCATGACAGCATTCATAGGCATTAATTTTCATTGATTGGGGACATACACATTGATTTTGGGTGTCCATTTTCATAGTGTCTGGATGCTCAAGCAACACTTAACCTGGGATAGTTTCGAAAGAGCAGATGAAGAGCTTAACACCTTTAACTGAGCCACGAGCAGGAGCAGCAGCAAATCTGGGTTCTTTCTCTAGCTCCTTTTTGTGCAGAGTTATTTGCTTTCCTGGAATATCCCTTGTGCTGTCATACTGACCCTGCGTGCTTGTCAGCAGGCCTGTACTGGTGGCAGGAAGGGGAGGGGGAGCAAAGTTATGCCTTCCAGGAAACCATTGACAAATGGATGTTAATTGCCGATTACTAATTTTACTGCTACCTGTGGTTTGCAAAAGGTAAACATGGCTCTTCCCAGGGTCTGTGTATGACAGGCTGTTTTTCTGCTCTTTATGTCTGTTCTGTGCTTCTTGTTTTGCATAATTTTTATTGAGTGCTTATATCAACAGCAAGCAACTTAACCAAACAAAGCAAAACATTGTGGTCAGTCCAATTTCTCTTTGCTATAAGCCATTGCTTGTAACGTAGCTATGCCTTCCCACAACCCTTCTTCATTTGTTCGGGCTGTAACCTGCTGGAGAGGGGTGTGATGTACCGCGGATATTGACTGAGGCATCAGAGCTGGGTTTGCTTCTTCCTGCAGATTCCCCAAGGCATGGAGATGAACTTGGTGCTGTAGTTTCACAGTAAAGTAGGGATCTTGTTTCCTTATAGCATTGACACATGCGGGTGTTAGGATGCAGCAGTCACGAGGGTGCAAAAGGCCTGAGACAGAGAGGAACTTTTACAAATAAGCTGAAAATCTTTGTGCCTGTTGCAGCTTTTCTTCCAAAAGGATGAAAAAGAATAAAGCTGAATTTCTTTGTCTCAACACTGTCGGCATAGCCCTGGGAACCAAGAAATCTCCATTCTGTGTTCAGTTTTACTGGTGACTTTGTCATTTCTTGCATAAGCTATCTGAGCCTTAGCTTCTATGGAGGGTTCTTAACACATTTCCCAGAAGGGCAATATCTGTGAAGTATTTGGAGAGTAACTAAGAAGAGCTTCAAGAAATTACCAGCCTCACCCCAAGGACTAATTTCTGTTCTCTGTAAGTCATGGGATTCATTTTACTGGTAGTACATCTCCAAACCCCTGACAAAGTCTGGGTTCTGTTGTGCTCGTGCTGTACAAACATAACGTGCAAAATTGTCCCTGCCACATCTCTCTCCACACAAGAGAAGATGGTTGTCTCCACTTGGCAGCTGCGGATGTGAAGTGTGAAGAGATCAAGATTTCCCCTGGCTCAACCATGGAGGCAGGGTCCAGCTGGCCAGTCCCCATCTCTTCCGTCTTCCCGGGCAGCCACCCACCATCATCGCTCGGCGGTGTTGATGCTGGGAGTGGTGGTTAAGCCCCAGATGTTTGGCTTTACCTGTAGTGGTGCGACCACCAGCATCAGGTCATGCTGGGACAGGCTGTGACCTTGCTGTCCCTTCAGCTAACATGCTTCCCTTGTGAGCACTTTCTGAGAGTGACTCATGTACCACAGGCTGCTCAGGGTTTAAAAATGGCAGCAGATGGGTGACTTTTCCCTGCATGGATTTGGATATTTTCAGGCATATTTTTCCAAATTTCTTCCTAAAATAACCTCTTCAGTTACCAGCAGTCAGCAGTGCCCTCCACTTGACTGTAAGCATAGCTGAAGGTCTCTCTCTTTCTCTGTGGTCACCCACCCTGCCCCTTGGCAGACACCGTGGGGAGAGGAAAAGAGCATTTCTCATTAGGTCTCTCTGTTTGCACAAAACCTCCTTTTGTTAGAGAATATTTTCCACCCTGCAATCCCCAGGAGAGAGGGCCAAAATTAGGCTCCTCGCAAGCGAACATGCGTTATCTTCGGTTCGCTTCTCTTTAGCCTTAGCAGAAATAAACATAACCCGGAGTTGTCTGTGTGTTTTTTATTTTGGTTACCCTCTGCAAAGAAAATAAAATCTCCCATGCCGGTATCTCTGCCCACATGCCATGCTGGAATGAGTAAGGTGTTAATGGAAAAACTGGTCAGGGTAGGAGCAATGTGGCTTTTACATGGGAAAGTAAACTCAGCGCCAAGCCTAGGAGTACCAGAGTGCTTGGAAAAAGCAATGGAAAGCAGAGAATCCATGCTCTGGTGTGATATGTGCTCTTTCTCAGTGAATTATGCCTATAGAAAGGCTAAAATTTTGTGTGCTGCCTGTATATACACGGTGGAGTCTCTGTCAGGAATTGGGTGATAGACAGTGCGACAAAGCTTTTTTGAGCATGGAATCTTCTGCCCGCATCAGGTGCAAGGTAAAAGGTGCTGTGTAGGCTGGGAATTAGCATTAATTTGGGGTTGTATGAGCTGGTTTTGGTATGCAGTACCCACTCGCTTGCACACACCTACTGCTGGTCTAAAAATAGGGGCTTCTTCAGGAAAACAACTGTCCTTGTGTGGTGGAGTTTTTTTCACGAGCTCACACATGTAAGTGTGATAAGCAATCCTCAAGAGAATGAAAGATGACAAAAATTAAGGCAAGCAAGGAAATTATGCAACTAGTATTTCAGAACAACCTGGAGCCTCTGATTGAGAAAGTTGTTGCTGTTTTGTTTGGTTTTGTTTTGTTTAAATTTGGGCATGCCTGCAGCAAGAATTCCCAAAGGAACCCAAGTGCATCAAGCGCTTGTTTCAGTGGGATTTCAGCTCCTAAATCATTTCTGTTCCTTTGAACGTCCCAGTTTAACCCAGAGAGGAGCATTTTAGGAAGTTCAGACCTCTCTGTATTACAGCAAGTCTTGCGAAGCACAATATGTCTATGGACATGTGACATTTCCTTCCTTTCCTCTTTGCAGAAGAGGTAAAACCGTACCCAGCAAATGGAGTGAATACAACATATCCAGAATCCCGCTATACTTCAGACTACTTCATTAGTAAGTCTCAATTATCAGTATCATTCTGGTGCTTCCAGGCATGAAAGTGCCACCTATTAGAGATTTGTCTGCATCACAAGGACTGCACCATGCAGTTGTTGCTCTGTTGTGGCAGAGCATGCAAAGCGTGTAATTTTGTCTTTTGTAGTGTTTTTGGTGACTGCCTTGAGATGCTATAATCTGACTTTACAAGCACTATTTGTTTGGAACTGTAGCTCAGCAGACCTGAAAAGTGACCTCAACACTCCAGAACATTGGGAATTTTTAAAAACATATTAAAAAAGGGAGGGAATGGGGGAAGAAGGCTTAATTCTGGATTGCTAGGTAGGAGCCTAGCAAGGAAAGCGATAAGTCATCAATCTGGAGTCCTGTGCTTCCCATTGCCATTGGTTTGGAGATATTCTTTAAGGGCATTTGAAATCTGTGATATATTTAATGAACTGGAATTCCAGGCTCTGGCCAGTGAGGAGAGGTGACTGTGGAAGTGACTTATCTATTACAGTCATCAATTGAACTTCTTTGCCCTAGATCTCCTTTGCTGAGACTATGCTCTTCATGATTTTCCAGCTTTTTCCCACAGCAGCTTGCTTGAGAGGAGTTTGGCGTAATGCACATTGATGGCGGTTGAGGATGTCTTATTTTTGTAAATTGGTGCAATTATAAGACACCATCTCTCTGCAGCTTTTAGAAACCTTACTCAAAATTAGTGCCCAATTGTGCCAGGTATTTTATATCCAAAGGCAGTCTCCTCTTGCACTGCAGACCTCAAATCTCTCTGTGCTGTGGGAGACTGGAGAGGGAGTGAGCAATGCTCTAGTTTCTTTGAGCTGTTTGTGTTTGGGTTGCTTTCTGATGGTCCCGTTCTGCCGACAGGTTATGGCATCGAGCACGCACAGTGCGTGCCTCCCTCCGAGTTCTCCGAGCCCAGCTTCATCACAGAGTCCTACCAGACCCTCCATCCCATCAGCTCGGAAGAGCTCCTGTCCCTCAAGTACGAGAACGACTATCCCTCGGTCATCCTGCGTGACCCAGTGCAGACAGACTCCCTGCAGACAGACTACTTCACGATCAAGCAAGAAGTGGTAACGCCAGACAACATGTGCATGGGACGTGCCAGTCGAGGTAAAGTTGGGTATCTCCCAGGGTTTGCTTGGGTTCTTGCTCTTCTACCTACATCAACTTAAGTGCTGCCTTTGGTTCTGTAGGAGATAGTGCTTTGGGGGCACCAAGGCCAGCAGGGAGCTGTGCAATGCCAGTAACAAAGCCATTTCCCAACATATATCTTATGGGGTTGAACTCCCAGATGGATATCCCTGTTGGCTTTGAGCCCTCCCTGCCTTTCTCTCCAGGGAAAACATGAAGGTCTTTATATTCTACCCTGCTGCCTGTTTTTACATCATCTGCAAAAATGTAGCATTTCTGGCTCCGGACTTTGATGTCAAGCTTGAGCAAAGTTGAAATAGCCTTTAAGGTTATTATGGAGGAAAGCTGCTGTGTGGTTGTATAAATCTCATTTTCCTAGGACACCAGGCAAAACCCCACAAATTCTTCACAAGTTCTCATCAGGAATTACTCTCCAAGGCTCTGAAGGGTTTTACACTTGATGATCCAAAATTTTTATCCATTATTTCCATTGATTTTGATGGCTGCTTGCTTGAACTGAGAGTCTGTTCTGATGAACCCAACGCCTGTGCTTTGTTAGGAGATGCAGATGTCATGGGTTGAGTCAGTGACAGAGCTGAAGGACCCCCTGAATCCTTGTGCTACAACCCTACATCTCCAAAGAGTTAGAGCTACATGATTCCGGTTTGAGATGATGGGATTTTAATACCTAAACACTTTTGAGGATCTAAGCCCAAATACCTTTTCAATTAATATTATTAAATTCTGAACACATGGGGCCCAGATGCCCAACTACTTTGTAATTACATCGCTTAATGCAAGGCTGAGGATCTGGCTCACAGTATATATATTCAAAGCAAAAGTTTAATCCATAGAGCTGAAAGTAACTGACAAAGGGGTATCATTATCTCCTGATTCCAGGTAGGGAACCTGAGGCATGGGGAAGAGATCTGACCTGCCTGCAATTGCACCCTGAATAGAATCCAGGTGTCCCCATGCCTAAAATTCATTATAGTAACGTGTTGCTGTGAGCCAGGTTTGATGTTGAACATTTAAACCCATTCATCCAGCAACGAGAACTGAAGATGTGCTGGTTCACCGTGAAAGCCGGAGCCCCTTTGCAGGTCTGCATCATATACACATTGCTGAGTGGAGCTTATTTTAAGTTCCTCATTCTTTTTCCAAGCTCGGAGAGCTAATGACAGGAAAGTTATTATTTGTATTATTACCTCTGCTTCTGCTGCTGGCTGAGCGTTAGTATGAGAGAGGTGGCTTGGACAATATGGTGAGCCAAAAGGGCAGTGGTGTTACAATTTTAGGTAAGCTCCTCTTTCTGGGGTTGTTTTTCTGGCTCTCTCTCGTTAGCGTCTTTCCCTTTTCTTGACCTTTTCTTTAACATAGGTGATTTCATAATAATTCTCATTGAAATGCAATGACTCAGGCATGCCTTTGCAATTGTACCTTGAGCCTGTTCTCACTGGCAAGCCTAAAAAGGCTCTAGGGGAGGGAAGAAAGAGCCCTTAACTCAGCATTGGGGACCAAGGGCCCCTGGTGTTAGCAAACACTTTAAAATACTGATTGCAATTGAAGAAATGCAACAGGCTGTGGCCGTGCTTACACTAACTCTACATTTCAGCCATGTAGAAGGGCCTTTGCATGGCATTAATCCTCCCAGAGTGGTATAAAGAAGGCTTAATATAAAGCAGAGGCCAGTTTATTTATATTTACATATGTCTTTACCTTCCACTGTATTAAAACGTTAGTCTGTCGTGAAGTCAAGCGCTTCATCAGTGGGAAATTCAGGATGAAGGTTTTCCAGACAGTTGCCTTTTGCCTTTCTTTGTGTGGGCTTTAGGAGTTAATTTTGTGGTCCCATGGGAGTTGTTTCACTTTGCCTTATCAGTGAGGGCATCTAGTTGGAAAGTGTAGCTGCCAAACCCTTAACAAGTTTCTCCTGAGTAGGTGCAAGGCATGATTTTTCTAAGGGCTCATGTTTAGGTCAAATTTAGGTGAATTTTGAATGAAATGACCCAAGTCACGTCTCCGACACCATGGCTGTTCATCTGTCAGATTTTGAATTCCTTTTCTAAATGAGCTTGTGCTGCAGGACTTCTCAGGGAAGTGGTTATGCCAATTAATGAACATGCATAAAGTGGTGTTAATTTTCCCCTTGCAGGGTTCAGGAGGTGATTGAAGTGTATTCTGTGAAACTCTCAAAAAAACTAAAAGAAAAAAATAAAATTAGTTTGAAGCATGGATATTACCAGCAGAATCAAGCCAGTGGATCCAAACTTCAAATGATTCTGGGCCAGCAATCAGGGCAGAGCCCATGGTAGTCGAGTCTTTTCACAGCAAGCGCTCTTCAAACTACAACACAACAAATATCTGGGGGAGTGTGCCAGCGTCCTTCCATGTTCCTGTTCCCCTGTGATTTACTATCTGGGCCCAAGCTGCGGGTAGCTCTGCCAGTGGAAATTTCTCCAGGAGTTCTTGCACAATCCCAGCAGCTGTTTTTAGCCCAGTTTGGGAAATTAGTGAACTTGAATGATCCTGTTACGCTCTTAGTTTGTCAGTAAAGATGTTGAGCAATTGGCAGCGTATGGGAGATCAGAGAGAGCAATTTCAGTTTGTTCTTTGGATCCTTTTTTAGCTCTCTGTTTTAAGTACAGAGGGTATACTTACGCTGTCTCTAGTGGGTGTAAATCAGCATAGCACTGCTGAGGATCTGGCCTCTCGTGTTCTGGTCTTTACTAAAAATACCCCAGAGAGTAGCCTTGATACAACCCAGCTGTACTCACCTTACCAGAACTGGAAAAATAGCTGTTTGAGCTCTCAGCCTTTTGCTCTCCTCCTCCATCAAATCTGCTGCTGTTTGGGGATTTGGGGGTGGAAGCTAGTTGTAACATATGGCAATAAAAGGCTGCTGTATAGTTTTGCAGGAAACATCAAAAGTACAGAACCTGGGTGTCCAGTACCCTTGAATATGCCTGAGCAGCATTTATATAGGGCTGGCAGATATAATATGGGACTTATTGGAGACCCGTATCTTTCAGCAGCAAGAGCAAGAGGTCCTGGCACCTGAACTGAGCCTTGAATATCTGTCTAAAGTGGATTATTTCTCTGCTGTTGCTTTTTTGAAACAGAGGACAATTTCCAGTTCGCCCCAGGCATCAGTCTTTGGTCGAGAGTCAAGACTCTGGGTTTTTTCCCTGACTCTGCCTTGCTTTGCTGCCTGAACTTCTCCAGGGCTCAGATAGCCCTGCTCTGAATTACAAAGATAATACAAGTATCCCAGTTTCAGGCTGTACTTTGGAGTTTGTTTGGAGATGAGGCATGGTGGGACAGCAACATTTGCCTGGTTGCTTTCTCCCTATGTAGCAAGGAGGCGAAACATAACTTCTCCTGGCTGTGGCAAGCTAGAAGCATCCCTGTGCTGGCCAGGCACATCTCACATGCCCTTCCTTCTCACCAGGTAAACTTGGAGGCCAGGACTCCTTCGAGAGCATAGAGAGCTACGATAGCTGCGACCGCCTGACGCAGTCCTGGAGCAGCCAGTCCTCCTTCCAGAGCCTGCAGCGTGTCCCCTCCTATGACAGCTTTGACTCGGAGGACTACCCCGCCGCCCTGCCCAACCACAAGCCCAAGGGCACCTTCAAGGACTATGTTCGAGATCGGGCTGATATGAACAAGGACAAGCCTGTCATTCCTGCTGCTGCCCTTGCTGGCTACACAGGTAGGGTCACGCTCCTCGGGAAACCACCTCTCTGCTGAGTGTCTTGGGCAGAGCCTCTCCATCGGTGGAAGGCAGAGCCTCCAGGGTCTCTGGGTCATGTAACGTCTGTGTTGCTGGTTCAGCGGTCTGGGAGTGAGGGGTTTTGGGGTCAGCCACGTGCATGCGGGCACACCTGAGAGCACGCAGCCCCCCAAGGCTGCATGTCCTTCAAGCGTGGGTGTTCCGGACCTCATGGAGGATGCAGGACCTGGCTGAGTGCAGGGCATTTGATACCTTGTGTTTTCATTTACGCCTGGATGCCTCTTGGTTGCCTTTGGTAGGGACTGGTGTCTGGTTTATATTGCTGAGAACACAAGGTAGTAGAGAGTGCCTCTTTCCCCCCGTGACACTTTTATGCAACATGCTGGCCACTTACTTGTGGTTTCCCACCTTGGGTAGGAGCAGCTGCATTTCTGGCATTGCTGTGTGTGATGTCAAATGATCTTCTCCCCTTTTGGCATGGAAGAAGCACTTGGGTTTGCTCTTTACCTTGGTGCGAGGCAGGGATGGGATGGTGCCAAAGCAGACCCAAACGTTTTCCATTCCCTGCACTGGGAGAGATGAGAAGGTGATAGGCCACGGAACCTCCGGCTTTTTATATGTCAGCCCTCCAGCAATCTGGCATCTTAGAGAAACCTGGTGGGATGGGGCTTCCAGCTGAAATTGAGATAATCCTTTCCAGTCCTTCTGTGCCATGTCTTTTGCCTGTACTATAAGTAAAATTCGCAAGGCAGCCTCCTGCCAGTTCCCCTTTCCCTTGTACATACTGATCTCTCCTGCCCCAGCTGGTAGCAGCTGTGGCCCGGAGGAGCCAAGCAGTGGAAATAGTTTTTGCAGATAAAGATCACCAAAAGATTCAGAGCAGATCCTGAGGTGCCTGAAATCTCCTCCCACGCACAGTTCATCTTAGGGCTGATATCTAGTTTTTTGTAAGGGGGGAGAGATGCAGAGGGGAGAAGAGGTGGAGAGATAATTTTAGGAGCTATGTGTAAAAAAGGAAGTGGTTTGTTGCTATAGCTTTAGTTAGAAAGAAAGCTCAGCCCTGCCTGCTGAATGAGCCTGTTTCGATCAAGTCAATGCAAAATAAAAGTGTGCTCTGCTATTCCTGAATGGTTTTTGGTTGGGGGATGTGGTGGGGAGAGGCATGAGTGGTAGGAGGGGCCATGCCATTGTCCTCCACAGTGCCACGGAAGTTGATGTTCCTAAAAGAGACCAGTGAGCACAACTTGCAGTTTTTATTCCTATTTTCTCCTGATAATGCCTTTCACTATGGCCCGTGGAAGTGTTTTGGGTACCCAGTGCCTGGGCAGGAGTGTTGGTTGCCTTTTAACAGCTGGAAACTGAGGCACGGAGGCACTGGCAAAACTAGGAGCTTTATTTTCCAAGCTGGATGTTTCCCTCCACATTTGCTGTAGCTTATGGAAAAGAGCTGCCCCCGTAGAGAGGTGGTGTTCCCAGCTCCCTCTGCAAGCGAGGAGACAAAGTCGGCGGCTGGACCCTGTGTTTTGCCAAGGAGTATTAGCACCCCAAAGAGTGTCCTTGGACTCATGCCGCCAGGAAGGGGAGACTTCGGTTAATGCAATGCCAGAGCACATTTCCAAATGCTTTGCGCTGCATAACATTTTCCTTTGCCTCATTTCAAACCCCATTTTGAGCTGGGAAGATAATCCCTTGGCCCAGGCATTTTGGTGTGATCAATAAGTGGGAGTGTCTGATTAATTTTTTTTTTTGCCTTGCTTCGCTTGAGAAACTTTAAATGAGGAGAGGAAAATCAGAGGTTTCCAGAATCAGCAGTCACTTGGAAATCCTTGGGCTGGAGCACTGCTTGCTTGCTCCGAAGGCTGCTAAGCAGTAATTCAGTCCTCAAACCGCCACAGCCTGCATTTACCGTTGGGAACAATCTTTGGACAGATGACCTTTGCAGGCATGTGACTCCAGAGATGTCCTCTGTCCCTTTTTAAAGCCTACTGATCTGTCAGCACCTTACATTTTATGTGCAAAGGGAGCCCAGCACGGGTGCAAAGCCAAGCCAGGTTGCTGTGAAAGCAGGTCACAGCGAGAGCATGTGAGAACATGTTGCATTACAAACTAGGACAACTGGGCACTCTCAAAACTGTTTTGTACTAGTGTATTTCTGCAAAAAAAAAAAGAAGTCTAGGCTGGCCACTGAGAAGTGCTGGACCTCTAGGTCCTTCTTTTTTTGCTTTGCTTTACATTACAATTATTTTACTCAGGGGAGGAAGTGCTGTCTACAAGCTAGAGCAGAGGAACTTAAAGTTTGGGCTCTGTTTGCAGCTCTGGTGAGGAGGTGGAGCCTCCAAACGAGCAGAGCAGGGGATTACCAGCCCAAGGTCCCAAAGCAGCCAGGACCCCTGCTTTCCTTTTCTTGCTGAGACCATGCCTCGAGCACATGTCCAACACCAGTCCCCAGCCAGCGGAGCACCCAACAGACATGCTGTGGTGTGTATGTTTTAGGACTGGAAGGGTGAAGCCTGGGAGATGGTGTCCTTCATCTCCAGGGCTCTCTGGGTTGACTTTAAGAACTTGACAATATTGTTCAGGTTTTGTCACCAAGGGCCTGTTTTGCTGGTGGCGCAGGGAGGTGGCACAGTGCTTTATCGCAGCCACGGCAGATCTCTGATGGTATCTGCCCTAGGAGGCGCATGCTTTGGTGAGAAGGTGCATTTTGGCGGAAGCTCCATTTGCGTTTGATGTGTTCTTCACCCAGCTCGCAAGCAGCTTTTCAAAGCTGCGTTATCTGCCCCCACATCTTGACCTAATTTAACAAGTTGCCATGGTTGCTCAGATAGAGGTTGATGCAATTTTCTTATCTTTTTTGAAGGAGAAATGTAATTGCTCAGGAGTTGGTGAACTTCACTTTCCATAGGTGCAGGGAGGGCCAGCTCTGGACACCTCTGGTTTTGGGGCCAGCTCTCTCAGAACTTGGCCAGCTTGAGTGTTACATTAACCCAGGTTTTATTTTTTTTGCCATGATCTAGGAAACGGAGACAGAGTACATCTATTAAATTTAGGCAAGCGGTGTGTCAGGATGCGTCTTCTCTGCAGACAGATGGGCTAAAGCTCACATTGGCTTAGCTGAGCTCAGTTTAAGCTCCCTTGTTCATGCAGCAATGCAGTGTTTGGTGTGGGCGGGCGGCTTGTGCTAGGTGCGTGCTGGCACATGGGTATAGATCCCCCCCCCCCACACCCCGTACCTGAGCCCAGCTGGGCTAAATTGAGCTCAGCTTTGCCTCCGTGCCACCTGCAGCCCTGCCTGTGGCTTTGCCATAGCTGGATCCTGCAGGCTGCTGCCTCCGATGGGTACCATGGCCACCCGCATCCTTCATGAGACCTGATGCCACGTGAATAAATGCAGAAAATCTGTAGCAGAGAAGTGTGCAGCCCATGCAAAGGGCAGGTGGTGTGCGTCTGACCGCGTTGGTCTTTGGCCTTTCTGCCCTATATTTATTTTTCCACTTTGCTGACCTACTTGTGCTGCTGCCCTCGTGATGATGCAGGTCCAGTGGACGTTCAGACCCTCTCCCTGCCCCTGTGGTTGGCGATACCCACTCGGGGCTGAATTGTTTTCGGCTTTTCTTGAGCGCCCCAAAGCACCTGCGTGGGTTTATAGCCAAGGAGTGCTGTTTGTTTGCTTTGTGGCACATAGGACCTCAGCATTGTCTGTGCAGGCCGGGGCTTTCCATCTCGCGGTGTTGTCTGCATTGCCACAACACCAGAGCTGTGATGTGCCGAGCTGCTGCTCCACATAGCTGAACAGACAGAGCAGAGTGATTCCCCTCGTGTTTGAGAGGAGAAGGGAGGAAAGAGGGATGAGAAAGCTGAAGTAAGTGCACACCAAACCTTGAACCCTCATCTGCAAGGCTGGTTTTGCATTTGCGATGCTGTCCTTTCTTATGGACCTAGTTAGGAAGTTGCTGATGCCTTTACAGACAATCCAGCTAATATCACAATGTGACCCAAGTGTCTCCCTTAGCGACAGATTGATGCTATCTTCATTATCATGCTGCCCTTAAAGAAGGCAGAAAGTAGTGCAGGGAATAGCCATCTCTCACAGATGCTATCTTGCCTGAGCACCCAGGACCGCTTCTGTCTACCAAACAGTTTTGCCCAGGCCAGATCCAACCCTGATCCTTGCTATCAGTATTCGCAGTACCATGCTGATAAGGCCCAAATTTGCCTGCTAAACCCATGTACCCTGTCCAAATTGTCTGCAGTGCAGAGCCTGAAGCCTTTGACGAGCCTCTGTTTCTGAGCGATGCTTATCTGTGACACAGAAGTGAAAGCACGCAGGTGCTGTTTTGCAAGAAAGTCAAGTTGGTGCCAAAGAAAGTGGGTCTCTTTCAAGAGAGCTTGTATACTGCTTCTCCTCCTCTTCTCCTCTTGTTGCTTATGCTGCTGGCCTGAAGCTTCCACCAGCGAGCTCCCTGGATGTGTTGTGGGCATCGGCATCCAAAAATCCGCCCAGCAGCTGCCTTCCCTGCCCCTCTCCCACCATGGTCCAGTGATCCGGCTGTCCTTGACATGCAGAGTCTGTGCAGTAGTTTTCCTAGAAACTTCAGCATCCTTCCTGCCTGCTTGCCTGCACTTCTGGAGAAGTGTGCCTGTATGGGCATCCGTAGCCACTTGTGTCTTGGTTTAGGGGAATTTGGAGATGAAGTCAGCTGCCCCAGCGATCAGAAGAGGCACAACAGCACCTCTGTCCCCTGTGCAATGCAGGGGATGTTGTTAGCTTGCTCGTTCTGGGTCATACCCTTTACCTGCTCTTACAGGGTGACTTCAAGTGTGACCAGCCAGCAGCTCCTGCCCCGTTTTCTGCTTCCAGTGCGGAGCCTGCATGGGCTCAGCAGCCCTTTTCGCCTCCGCAAGGTGGGCAGCTCAAGGGTGGGGCTCAGGGCTGGTTCAGTGGCTCCTGCTCCACCTGCCAGACATGTGCAAATGACAGTGAAATCAGCCCCATGCAACGCTGCCCAACCGTGACGGCAGCTCAGCTCTCACCAGAGCTGCTGCAGCCGCTGGCAGCGGCTTCTCGGCAGCCCGGAGGTGATGGCAAAGCAGCAACTGTGGCTTCGTCTCTCCTTCGAGCAACGAGCTGGAGCGTTGCACAGCAGCTCTTGGCCTGCAGGACCACCTTCAGGGGGAGAGGTGAAGCTCATGAAACCCCTTGTGCTTTGCCAGATGCCTCTGGAGTGAGACCAGTCCTCCCAGCATGTTCTTCCTCGAAATAGAGGAGATGCATTGGGAAAGCAGAACTGGCCCAGAGTGGCCTACCTGGCTGCTCTCCTGTCTATAAGCATGGCCAAAATCATGTGGCTCCCCAAGGAAGGTGCTTTCTGGGTCCTTCCCTGCTTTCTTCACCCCTGCTCTTTGGAGATGCTTCCATCTGAGCTCCACCGCTGCCCTCCCACCCATGCAAAGCTGGCACTTTGCAGTGGTGTGACTGCCTGCACCAGTCTGGGCAAGAGCTGGGGAGGAGGTGGTTGGGCTTGGTCTAACAAGGGAGTGATGGGGACAAGCTTTGCCTTCCCCCAACACAGTGGGGGAAATTGGGGACCTTCGGTGCCGCAGTACCATCGAAGGGGGCTCAGGCAGGGCGGGCACACGAGTGGGGCAAAGACTGTTTTGGAGATGTTGCTATGCCCAATTGTTCTGTTGGGTTGGAACCACAAACCACAGGGTGAAAAGCATAGGTGCGCCGTTTTTTTTTTCAGTAGGGTTTTTTTTCTTCTTCTTCTTCTTGTTTGAAAGAAGGAAAACAAAACAGAGGCCGTTGAGAGGGGTGGGGGTGTGAAACTGTCTTGAGAGAGAGTAGGGATGACGTGTTTCGGGCCGTGCCTTCCTGGGTATGGTGTGGATGCCCGTCTGCCCCAGCCAGGTGGTACCACCATCACTGCGACAGCGAAAGTGGCTGTCGTGCATATTTTGGTTTCAAACCGCTTCAGAGCCGCTGGGTAGGAAGGTGGTAGGGGACCTTCAGTCCCGACCAAGGGAGGATGGCACAGGGATGGCGTAGCACCAAACCCTTTGCTCTGAGGACAGCCACGGGTGCCATCGGAGGACCGGTGCCGAGGAGGCACCGCTCAGCCAGCGGTTCCCACTGTAGCAGCCATCCGTTATCCGGCTTAAGAGGCATATTTTCCCCCTGACGTGGGAGAATTCCTGCAGTGTGACACTCCCTGCTGAAGGACCCCGTTCAGTGCCACAGAGGCCAGACAGGGCCCCCATTGTGGCACCGGCGGGCAGGCAGGCGAGCCCCTCCGGCAGGCACTATTCTTAGCAGCCTTCACGGGTGCCGGAGGTCGCGGCGGGGCGGGGGGACATCCCACCATCCTCTGAGTCCTTGCCTTGTCTTTTGTGGAGCAGAGGCTGTCCCTGTTGCCCGGCCAGGGCTGGGCTTGCTCTGGGAAGATCCTGGATGTGCGCAGCAGGACCTGCGCCATAAAAAGTGACGCCTGTCCCTCCACCCCACACTTGGGGCTGCATCCAAAAAAAAGGCTGCGAGAACACTCACTGGTGGGTTGTTTTTGGAGATAATCAAGGCAACAGGTTGTGTGGTGGGATACACTCGCCAAGCTACACCAGCCTTGGGGCGGTCGGTGCGGCTGTGCGTGCTTGTACCATGAAGTGATTCTGGACTGGGCGTTGCGGTGGGGATTTCCAGCCACAGCTGGGGATGAGTGGAAGGGTTGAAGCAGAAGGGATGGAAAATGGGCGCTGCTCCCAGTTCCTGCGGGGGCGGAGGTTTGGGGTGCGGAGACAAGCCCAGCAGCTTCATGCTTGCCCTGGTAGCTTTGGGGACACGACGTCGGGGAGGTGGCATCTCTGCGTGAGCCAAGGGTCCCTTTGAAATCCTTTTAGGCATTGGGAAAAACAACTCCCTGCTCCTTGCTGGTCTGCAGAGCAGGCAAAAGAAGCTCATTTCTGAAGATGGCCCTCCCAGCACTAATTACCACTGTTCTAGCCTACCAGATGATGCATGGACCTCCAGCACCCCTTCCCTAATCATTTCGCCTTCCTACCCTGCCATCTCCTCAGAGCTGTTTTTGTGCACGCAGGCTCAGGCATGTGCCGGGGTTTGGTTCCTGCCACCTCGTGCATCGCCTGCCTCGCTGACATTTCGGAGTCGTGCCCCAGCGGCAGTGGCACATCTGCAGGGCCTCCGCTGCCTTCCCCTCTGGCAGGGTGTGTGTTTATAGGAGCTGAGACATGCCTGCAAGCCCTGCAGTAAACACATTCTTGACATAATTGCTTGTCCAACACAGAGGAATTTGGGGTTTTACACGTGTTCCACAGGCAGCTTGGACTAGACCTTGGGAATCCCTGTTCCAAGGATGACACTGCTTCCTTCAAAATCCCAAAATACCCAGCGGAGCGGCACCTGGCACAGAGGCAGGAGCCCTACCTCGCTTGCTGGAGAGAGGGTGAGAAATTGCTGGTTTTCCCAACACCTCTCCATGCCAGCTGGCAGACGAGCCGTGAGCACCAAGCATGAACTGCACTGGCCACTTGGCTCGGGGTTAATGACATTTGAACCTTAAAAGCCTCCTGCAGAGCCAGGGTGGCTCAGGGGTATTTTGAGGGCAAATACCCTCCTTGCTTACCCAAGAACCTGGCGCCTAGGTGATGGGTTTCCATCCGTCTTATTCTGGGGAAGGAATAAAAAAAATATCCTTGTTCTTTAGTAGGGCAGGAGAGAAATCAATGCGAGGTGATGAACCTGGTCTTGCTTCAGTCTTGTCTCCTACCAGTGTTTCTCTGTTAGCCTGACTTGAGTGCTGGGTGCTCTCTGTATGTGTGAAGGGAATTGATGTAAAGTCAGATGGGCCAAGAGAAACCAGCCCCATGTGAATTCACCTGCAATTCCCAGTGGAGGACCTCAGGTGGCTGAAATAACCTTTTTGCCCAAGGTTTTCTCTGTATTTAAAGCTCGCTGCTATAAATAGGTCTAAACTTTGAGATGCGGTGGCATTTCAGGCCAGGGTTTTGGCTCTTCCCTTTCGGATGAGAGGCGAAGGCGTCATCTGAATTTCCTCCCTTGTTTTGGCGCAGATAATCCAACTCCATCCCTACCGGAGAGCGCGGTTGCAGAGCCAATGTCTTGGCAAGCTCCTGCTGAGGACGACGGGCTGGAGCCTTTCCCCGCTGAGTGTCGTCTTCCCATTTACAAGCAGAGAGATGCTCTGAGCTCCCTGCTCTGTCCTGCCCATGGCTGTGCGATAACCCCCAGGGCTTGGCAGAGGAGCCGATGCCTGCAAAACCCTGGAGCAGTTGCTTAGGCATAACAAGAGGGAAACAATTTGGGGAGGGCTGGACAGGGCACAGCGATTCCCCTGTCCTGGAGCCAGCTCTCTCATTTCCTCCTCCCCAGCAGCTTGTCTGCTTTTGAGTCATTGTAAATCTTGTGGAAAAGGGGGAGCAGCCCTCTCTTCCCTCTGCGGGTTATCCTGCAGCCACAGCTCTGACAGCCTTCATTGTCATTCTTGGAAATAGGCTGTTCTCTATCCCTTTTTCTGAGTACATAACTCTTCTTTTCCCTGCTTGAAGATTCCGCTCATTGCTGTCAGCAGGCGGGTTTACCCCAGCCTGCCGTCCTAATCCAGCCTGTGCAATTCTTTTTGTGATAAATCATTTCCTCTAACCTCTGGCTTTGTTTATTATTATTATTATTATTGTCATTCTTATTATTAGTGATATATTCTAAGCTGTGTTTAAAACATGGCAAAATCTCTCCCAAAACATGTTGCCCAGAGCTAAGTGCTATATTTTGGGTGCGGCTGCATCTGGAAGTTGCTCATCAAAGAGGTTTTGGCTTGAGGGCTTCTCCTCTACCTTTGATTGGGACACAAGCACAAAGAAGAGATAAGTATTTCGAAATCGCTCCACGTACACCATTAATCCAGCCAAAACCAGACTGCAAAGCTGCAGGCTCTCAGTGGGGTGCACCGGGTACTGCAGGCTAGATGTGTTGGGCTCAGGACCCCGTGCCAAATTGCTGTTGGCCAAAATTAGCACCCAGGGGAAAGACGGAGACCACGGCGTTGTAAGGAGAGGCTGAATGTTCGTGGCATGGGATGCTGCGTGCTGCCTCATGCCTCTGCGGCTGGATTAGGGGAATCAGCAGCCGCAGGGAGGTTTGCTTATGGCTTTGCTAAGACCGTGACAAGACTGTGATGGGGAGATCCACCGGTCCTGAGCTGGTGAGATCTGTCTGCCAAGCCAGCCAGCCCCTTCCTTCCCTGCACGGAGCTCTGCAAGCCGGCGTAGCCCATTCCTGCAGCAACATGCCCTGGAAAGAGGCCAAATAATTTTCATACCTGGGTCCCCCCTTATCTTGGTAAACAGCAATGGAGCAAAGAGTCAAGGTTGGGAAGCGGGAGTCTGATGGAGTTCATGCGATGGCCAGCAGCTTTTTGGCACGGAGGAAATGGTGGTGCTCTTGTGCCAAGACAATGACTCCTTGCTGTTTGGATGCCAGAAAAATAATCCTATTTATGTAACTCGAAGTGAAACATTCCAGTGCATGAATATTCAGCTTTTGCTGCAAATAGGAAGCTCTCTTACCTGCAGGATTTAACTCTTAAGCTGTCATCTCAGCCCAGATCTTGCCCTGTGGCCACTGATGGGTTTTTTTGGTAGTAGAAGGTTTTATTTTTTTCAGTGAGCACTGTTTGCATGTGATTTTTTTTTTTTCCCCTCTGGGATAGAAGGGGCTGTGCTTTTCCTGGTATTAATGTATCATGTCTCCTTTGTCCTTCTAGGCAGTGGACCCATCCAACTGTGGCAATTCCTGCTGGAACTGCTCACTGACAAGTCCTGTCAGTCCTTCATCAGCTGGACGGGCGATGGCTGGGAATTCAAACTTTCTGACCCAGATGAGGTAGAGTGACCTGGAATTAAGTGTACAGCCCAAATTCCTCTGAAATATTGGTGTGGATAACCCTCCCCTCCTCCCTTCAGTGCTGAGATTTGGGCAGTCACGTTGTTCTGGTCTTGGGTATGTGTGGGGGAAAACAATGAATTAGAGCCCAGCTGAAAACTTGTTAAAAATTGGGCTGCAGTAATACCTAGGAAGCTGTAATTTGTGCCCAGAGTTGGTGTGAAGTAGCTGAAACACCACAGAGAGAGGCATATTGCCAAAGCTCTTCAAATAGGATGTGTTCAGGTGAGAGGGGGGCTTCCCACTGATTTTGGGGAACAGATGGGACATTCGTTCCCTTCCCTGACTTATATATCCGAGTCGTCTGCAACATTCTGCCATTGCATGGAGGTTGCTTTTCCCAAACTTTAACGCTTGTGACCCATCTGGGTCCATCTTAAAGATGAGGAAAGTCCTCTCCCTTCCCTCCTGTCCGGCACTGCTGCTTGCCGATGGCTGCCTGACCAAGCCAGATTGATTTTTCCTTCCCTTCCCTGCGATGTGCATCCCCCCCTTGACTCTCCTCACCCCTCTCCCAGGTGGCGAGGCGATGGGGCAAGAGGAAAAACAAACCCAAGATGAACTACGAGAAGCTGAGCCGTGGCTTGCGCTACTACTACGACAAGAACATCATCCACAAGACGGCCGGGAAACGCTACGTCTACCGTTTTGTCTGCGACCTGCAGAGCCTGCTGGGCTACACGCCCGAGGAGCTCCATGCTATGCTGGACGTCAAGCCGGATGCCGATGAGTGAAGGTGGCTGGCCGGGGTGGAGGGTCACCCCGTGTCATCTTGGCGAGTTGATGGGACTTTTTCTGTTGGTTCTTTTTTATTTTTGCTGTTCTTTTTGTTGTTCGTTGTTTTTTTTTTTTTTTAAAGGGCAACTCCTATTTGATGCTTTGAGGGTGTTGGGAGAGAGGGTGGTGGAAGAAGCAAACTTTTGGCTGAAACCTAAAAAGTTTGGTTCAGAGAAGGATGGGCTTTTTTTTTTTCCTGAAAGCTCCAAGACAGGCTTTTTTGGGGTGAAATTCTGAGTTTTAAGAAAGCCAGAAAAATGTAGCTCACTTAAAAAAAACCCAACCCCTTCCCCATCCCTTGTTGTTTAGAAAAAATATTATCGAATGGATCCCTTCGGTTTTTGTGTTATTCGCACACAAACTGACAGTTCAGGAAATGACAGTGTTCCCGAAGATTTGAGGATTTTAAACTTTGAGGGGGGGGAGGGGGCGGGGCGGGGCGGTAAAACCAAAGCAGGTGAATATTCCTGCTTCGGGGAGGGGCAATACAGGAAAAAACCAAGAACTGTTTGTCGTTCTTGTTACATTGCCTTTCTGTCGGTTGTTGTCTTTTCTACAAAAGACAGAATTTTTGCTAGGAGGGATCAAGACTTTTTGTTTTTTTAAATTTGTTAAAGTTTTATTTTATTAAATTTTGTGCCAGTATTTTTTTTTTTAAATAGTCTTAAGCTCTAAGGTGGTCTCAGTATTGCAATATTGTGTGTGTTTGTTTCTGTTATGCCAGCAGAGAGTTTTATCACAGTGAGGAAAAAGAAAAAAACCAACTGATTAGTTTATGTAGACCCCACTGGAGAAGTGTTGTGCTACGACTCGGCATCTCCGAATCGTATGTGAAGGAAAATTAACTCCAAACTAGCTCCTACTGATGCTGGCTGGGTGTGCCACTCTTGCTTCCAGTCCCACATGCTTTGCTCCGCCATTTGCTGATAAAGCTGGTTGAAATTTCTGCTTTTTTTGTTGTTGTTAAAAAAGGGGCCTTTTTGTACGGCTGCGTTTTGTGCATGAAACCTATCAAGCTTTGCGGGGAGAATGTCTTTCTGCATTTTCCAAATCACTTTTTTGCTCAAGGAACACTTTGGTGCTTTCAGAAAATTTGGGGGGGGGGGGGGTTGGAGGGGAAAGGGGAGAAATTCCCGTGTTTTGAATGTTGTAAATGGAAAAGATGTAAGTTGATGGGGGGGGAAAATGAGGAAAAAGTTGAAAAACCAAAGGGAAATGTTTTTTCCCTCCTGTTTCGACCAGCTCTATCTTTATTGCTCTATGTCTTAACCAGCCTGGGCACACACAGAAAGGAAATTGTCCTTGCAAATGGGTTCTTTACTGCTCTTTGTAAGCCTGATCCTGCAAACCCTGTCAGGGTGTGATTAACATGAAGCATATGACTGGTGTCACCGGGGTAAATGAGAGGTCTCATGTGCTTGCCCGAGACGGTTGCAGGATCAGTCCTGTGGGGAGCTGCTCCGTCTGTCCTCCAAACCTTTTGCAACTGGTTTGTATTCAGAGGGGTAAATCCTGCTGCACCAAGCACTTCCCGGGATGCTCTGAGCAGACTGAGGCTGACGACCGCCTTCGGTGTGGGCTCAGTGTGAGTTAGAGGATCAGGCACTGAGCGTTTCCATATCCAGATAAGACCCTGAAGCCGGATCCGTGCAGGTCCGACTGCTGAATGGCATCTTTCTCCCCTGAGAGCCACTGAGCGTTTTCTTTTTAAAGACAGTATTATGCGTTTGAACCAAAAGTACCTTCTTTTTGTGTTGTTTGTCTGTCCGTCTGTGTGTTTTAGGTAGTTGCGTTCATTACAGAGGCACTGTGAGACAGTAGTGAGGGGCGAGGTTGGGAGAGGCTTTCCAGAAATGCTCGCTGGGTGATGCCTGCCTGATACAGGCTGGTATATCGGGTCAGCACGACAGGACTCAGCGTGCAAAGAGCCAAAATATTTGGGCATGTAGCCCCCCTGCACAGGGGCAGCGTCGGATGGGGAGCTCAACCCCGGGGCAAGGTGATGCTCAAAGGTGCTGGGCTCTTCTCCGCTTCCTCTGGAGCTGGGGGTACCCAGCACCGCTGTATCCCCGGTTGGTCATTTTGGGGCAAATCAGCCCCCAAACTGCTGCGCGCTTATAAAAAGGTGCTGGTGGAGGAGAAATGAGTACGCCAGGAGAGAGCTCCAGCCAAGGGGGATGGAAGCAGATGGTGGTTTAGGTATAGGAGGTTACTAGTTATGCTGTTAGCTCAGGGGGCTGGGGCTGCGCATCATCCCACTGAGCATACGGAAAGAAAAGGGTGGGATGGACAGAAAGGAAGGAAAAGGGGATGAAAGGAACGTGAAAGGAGCATGCACCAAAGGAAGAAAGGGACGCTGCCCACTGGGAAGTTAAACTTCCGCTCATCTCCTCAGGTAGACAAGGGAGTATGGGAGAAAGCAGCTCGGCCAAGCTGGAGAGAGGAAAGGAAAACATGGGTATCGTGGATGAGGCCCCTCCACCGGCGAGGCACCGGGGCAGAGCTCTACCGCAGAAGCAAGGCTCGCAGCAGCTGCTGAACAGGCTGAAAAGGGAGTTGAGTAAGATGTGATGGCACAGAAATGTGCAGGGGAGGAGTAGTTAAAGAGCATCCCAACAGGACAGGCCATACCGGTTGGTTTTGCAGCAATCGGATGGGGTTTTTTGGTGTTCAGGATTGCTGTCTTGCATGCAGCTGCAAAGTGCCCTTAGCTTACCCTTCATGGGCCACTTCTAGGAGTGCTTTGAAAAATCCCCCTTAAGCCCTTAGAAGGGGTGCTGCCAGGAGGCCAGGCGCCCCGTCTCCTGCCCTTGGCAGCAAGCTGTGTCCCAGGACATCTCCTGTGGTGTTCGGATGCTCCACTGCAGCTGAAGTGCCTTTTTGAAGCAGAAAACAGCGATAAAATTTCCCTTGATGGAAGGAACTGCAGGTTCGGGTACCAACCCCATCCTTCGTGCTTATTTTTTCTGGGTTTCCAAGCCAAACCTGTGCATGCCCAGTGATTTTGGGAAGATGGTTTAAAGGTTAGAAAGGGCGAGTTGTGGAAAGCAGCTCTGTTTTTTGGAAGTAGCTCCTGGTTGGAGCTTCTCCATCGTTTCTCTCAGCCATTTGCCATCCCAGCTCGCAGCCTGTGTGCAAGTGCAGCAGTAAAAGGGCAGTACAATCTTAGGGACATCAGGTTCATAATTTTCTATTTTCCTCTATTTTTTTATTCCCAATCTAGAGACCATCCCGGAGAGGGCTGTGTGCTGTTTATACACTGGAAATTTGCAGATTTGTTTTTGTTCCCTTTTTTTTTTCTTTTTCTTTTTCTTTCTGCTTTTTAATTGTATGTTGATTTTTGGTGAGGGATGTGCTGGAACCCAAACCCTCTGACCTCCTGTTCTTCGAGGCCATGAAAATTTGGTTAACCGCCTCACACGTGCCGAACCAGAAAGATGGGTTTGAGAGGGATGATGATCTGCCAAGGATGGGACTCGCTCCTGTGCTGGTTTCTCTGCACGGGGGCAAGCTTCACCCTCGGCAGATACACGTGGCTTTTGTAAATGGGGTAATTTTGTCTTGTTTTGGAATGTCTCAGGTGCTTTTGGTGATTTTTTTTCGGATATTTTCTGTGTCCTGCTCATGATCTGCTGTTCTCAGTGCGGGGGGCATGTCCCCTTGGCCCCCCCAGCAGAGCCTGAGCCCTACCTTGGGAGCGTAGCACTATCAAACAGCTTTCCAGGGCCTCGGCAGTTGATATCTGGGACCTCGGTAAAAGAAAAAAAAAACCCAAAACCTGATGAAAAATGGAAGCACTTTTTCTGCTGCCTTTCTGTCTCCATCTCTGTGTGTAGGATGACCATAACCCGTGGACACTCGTGTGTGCAAGTGTAGATCCGTTTTATTTCCACACTACCACCATCCCGCTCCAGACATGGTCGTTGAGGTGGAGAAATAGCCAAACGGGGCAAGAAATAGAAGATACTGTAAGATTTAACCTTCTCACATCTTTCCAAACCAACACCTCCAAAAAACGGCACCGATAAATTCCGAGGCTGCGGGAAATGTCTCCATCTTCTGACTCTTGCTCTTCTGGAGGGGTTTCTGCGAGGCTTCAGGGCTTGGTTGCTTGTTCCTCGTTAATGTCGCAAAATTGGGATGCCTTGGCGTGCTCTGCTCTCTGGTAGGGTCTAGATAACATCCATGAGCTGTTGTCTACATTCCAAAGAGGTTTAAATAAATGATAAATCTATGTATACATATATGTTAAAATGGAATATCTCCAGGAATTAACTGCCTCAGTTAAAAAAAAAAAAAAGTTCTGTGTTTTGTTCTGTTTTGTTTTTACACATGGGATTTTTTTTTTAAGCTGATAAACATAGAAGAAGAAAAAAAGAAAGAGATTGTTATATTGTGCTGTTCGACTATTTTCCAACTTGTATTTTCATATAATTTATATTTTTTAAAAGTGGAAAAAAATTTTAAAAGCGAGATTAAAAAAAAAAGGAAAAAGCAGGTGCTTTTTAAAAAAACTGAGCTGAGGTAGCTTAGAGATGTAGCGATGTGTGTGTGTGTCCGTGTGTTGTGTTGTGTTTTGTTTTGTTTTGTTTTGTTTTTAAAGGATACAAAAAAAAAGTCCCTCCTACATTGAATTCTTAAAGGAGGAGGGGATTGGTTTTGTTTTAATTGCTGATGCTGGCACATCATTTTGCTGGAGAGTTTTTTATATACTGTAGCCTTATTTCATATCGTATTTTAAACCATGTGAAATTAAAAGAAGAATAATTCATAACCCTCAGTGTCGGTGTGCTTATTCGTTGCCTTTACTCTCTAAAATCAGGGAGCAAAGTGGAAAACCAATGCAAAAAACTTAGAAATCCCAGCAACTTCTATTTTTTTTTTTTTGCATTACTAAACAAAATTGCATGGTTATAGGAAATAAGGGTCTGCCTGGCATCGCAGCCTCTGGTCTCGGGGGCCGGAGAAGGGAGATGCTGCATCCCGCCAGCTCCCTCTCGCTTTGGGAGCATGGGTTGTCCTCTCTGGCTCCTCGGAAACCGTCACCACTCCGCCTTGCTGTCCCAGGGGCAATTCCAGTGTTTCAAAATGATCTTTCATCCTGAATCATCACTGGGAGTTTGGGATATCTGTGGTTTACCACCCCAAATGACTTTTATGGTAGTATTTTCTTCAGCAGGCTCTTGTGAAATAGGTGTAGCCAGCTCGCAAAGCCCTGTGGCCACCAGCTCGCCCTCGCTGCGGTGTGGAAGTGCTGCTGGGCATCCGCTTTCCTACTCGAGACCTCGGGCTGTGCTCCATCAAGAGGAGAAAGCTGCCTCTGGGCTCCTAATAGATCAAATCAGACCATTGTGCTTCAGATCTTTGAAAAATACATGTATTTTT